GGGCATCCTGTAGAAAAATGAATTATTTTAAATTTAACTTGTTAGAGCTCTCTCTGGCAAAGATGGTATCAGCCAGCAAATGGTGGAAACACGTATGGCCAAGTTATGTATATCAGAGGCTATGTTTCCCTTGAAGGAACTAATGGCATGACCAGTTAGGTATCTCCACAGTTGGAAAGCCTTTATTTGCCATTCAGTGTCTAAAGGTGCCTCACAAATGGCATCCTCCCCAAATGGGAATCCTAGAAGACCTGCAAGAGCGTCAGTGGTGTACTCATATTCCATATTAAACATCCTAAACTTCATCATACCGATAGTGCTAGAAGTGTTAGCTTTAACAATGTAAATTAACGAACTCATAAATTCTCGGGTCAGCCTCTCATAAGTTGGTTCTCTACGGATAAAAATATTATGCAATTGTAAATTATCCAACAAATAGACTACACTAAAATGGATACCTAGACTATACAGACAGTTTTCATCAATATACCTCGTCGCGAAATTTCACGTGTCTGCAAGTCTTCAAAATTTTGCCTCTGCCTATCCCCATCTCTTCCTTTGCAAAAAATTATTTGTCCTTGCTCCCTTGCTGCCATTGTTGGCGGTTGTTTGGTGAAAAATTAGGGTTTTAGTGAAATTTGTGAATTGGGAATTTTTGTGGGATATGGATGAAAGGTTGGATTTTTATAAATGAAAAGTGAGTGGTATAGTGGGAAAGGGTAGTTGAATGAGAAGTTTAATGGGTTTTCAATATGGTCAATAATGGAGGGAGTGGAAGTTTTTGGAGGTTGAAGATGAAGAGGATATAGAAAATGGGGTTTTTCTCAAATCGGGTCCGTAAGAGCTTCAGACCCCTTGGTGTCCGCCTAGGGGTAGATGGCGCCCACCATCTTTGTCTTCTGGGCCTTGTATGAGATTTAGGCATTGGCTGGGTTTGGATCATTGTTTGAGGGTGTATGTAGCGTCTCCTGAGATATTGGTACATGCAAGAGACATATATAATATTTTTACATGATATAAATGATAAAAATACGCATTAAACATAAATAATAATAATAAAGATCATGCAAATTTAAAAATTTAAAATTTAACCGATAAATTTGAATATGAGGAAATAAAACTACTAAAAATAATAGTATGTATGGGGTGAATTAAATGGCCATAATAATAGTGCGGTAAAAATAATGATAGTAATGCGGTAAAAATTTCCTCCAAACTCAGTGTGAGCAATGTCCTCAGTATGCAAGTAACTCCTTTAAAGTGATTGGCAATGGACACCTTGATTCATATGTGGACAGGATGACTGCGCCTCTGCAAGCTGGCGTTTAAGACTATAGATTTCTTGATACAGGGAATCATATTCGGTGGCACGTGTCGCATCAAAGACCTTAATCTGTAAGGTTAATTCAGTAAGTTCTTCGCGAAGAGAAAAAATCCTTGCGCATAGTATCGAACTCAAAGAAGATCAAGATGCTCGAACCCTGTGTTAGATCCTTACTGTCCATAGAGGCAATCAAAATGTTGGATCCCTAAGTGGGATCCTTGCCACCCATAGAGGCAATCAAAATGTTGCATTCCTAAGTGGGATGCTTGCCACTCATAGAGACGATCAAAATGTTGGACCCTATGTTAGATCCTTGCCACCATATAGGGGATCAAAATGCTGGATCCCTAAGTGGGATCCTTACCGCCCATAGAGGAATTCAAAATGCTAGATTCTTAAGTGAGATCCTTGTCACCCATATAGGCGATTAAAATGCATGATCTCTGAGTGAGATTAATACCCTTCATAAAGGCAATTAAGACGTCAGATCCCTAAGTGAGATCCTTGTCGCCCATAGAGGCGTTCAAAACACTGGATCACTATGTGGGATCCTTGCTACCCGTAGAGGCGATCAAAATGTTGGATTCTTAAGTAGGATCCTTGTTGCCCATAGAGGTGATCAATACGCTAGATCCATAAGTAAGATGTTGGATCCTTATATGAGTTCCTTGTTGACCATAAAGGCGATCAAAATGTTGGATCCCTAAGCGAGATCCTTGTCGTCCATATAGACGATTAAAATGTTGGATCCCTAAGCATGATATTTGCCGCCCATTAAGGCAATGTTTTTATGCTGGACTCCACAACGAAGATCCTTGCCTCCCATTAAGACAATGTTTTTATGTTGGACTTCTTGACAAAGATCCTTGCCACCTATTGATGCAATATTTTTATGATGAATTTCACAACGAAGATCCTTATCGCACCTCAGGGCAATACAAGTTAGATATCCAACACCTCACCTGAGGGACTTGTACTCTCATCAACTAGGCTACTTATAACTTCACGTGAATGACTTGGATTCCCAGGATAATTAAACTTTCGTATGAGGGACTTAGGATTGCCTCGGGCAGGATCAGACATAAAGATCACGCCTAAGATGTGCGATTGAAGTCTAGCCTAAGTGACTTAATCACAAGTTTTTTCTAAGACCTTGATAGAAGTCTCACTCAAGAGATCTAATGCCTCACTTGATGGACTTATAGTCTCATCATCTGAGCTACATATAATTTCACCTGAAAAACTTATAGCCTCATTATTCAGGCTACATATAACTTTGCCTGAGGGAATTTGACTCTTACTTGATGGGCTTAAGGTTTCCTCGGACGGGATCAGGCATAGAAATCACCCCCAAGAGGCGCGACCGAAGTCTATCGTGAAAAACTTATTCACAAATCTTGTCTAAGGGCTTTGATAGAAGTCCCGCCTAAAAGATCTAACACCTCACATGAGGGACTTATATTCTCATCATTCAGGCTACATATAACTATGCCTGATGGACTTAAATTCCCCAGGCTAATTAAACTCTCGCCTGAGGGACTTAGGGTTTCCTCGGGCGAGATCAGAGATAGGAATCACCCCTAAGAGGCGCGACAAAAATCTAGCCTATGAGACTTAGTCACATGTCTTATTTGAGGGCTTGATAGAAGTCTCTTCCGAAAGGTCCAACACCTTACCTGAGGTACTTATACTCTTATCACCTAGCTACATATGACTTAACTTGAAGGATTTAGAGTATCTCGGACGCGACCAAACAATATGATTCCCCTTAAGAATACCTCGAGCCTAATAAGCCTAACACACCACATATATCATCAAGAAACTCAGGGCCTCATAATACTCTATTGTACTACGACTTAAAAACACTTTGTTCACTATCAAAGGCCTTGAGTTTGAAGGACTATGTAGTGTTATATTTGTAAAGAAACTGGCTAGGGTGATGACTATAGGTTGCCCCTAGTTGAAGTGGCGATCATATATCGCCTTTAGGGCGGAACCATGTCGCCGCTAAAGCTTCCCTATTGCCCACTCACGGGAAATATATGATAAGACATTTATAGGACAAAGAGACGCCATAGTCGATAACTGACCCACATCCTTATTGGAAATATAAATTCAACGATCCACCAATGACAAGGTGGGCGATGACCTTTCCCAAAGAAACCCTAGACCCAAAGCCTCTATAAATACATCTCCTCCAACGGGAGGAGACATATCTTAACTCACACGCTTATACACAAACAACCAACACATATACATAACTCTCATTTCACACGAGTATATCCTCCAAACCATCACAAAAACCACCGTACAAGACTTGTTGTCGTTGTGGACAAACCATAACCACCATTCAACATAATATGCCTACTAAGACCTCTGAACACCTATGCCCTTTGCACGAATGACACACACACACGCACGCATGCACACACACTCACACACACACACAAATATATATATATATATATATATATATATATATATATATATATTCTGATTATAAGTTAATATTTATTAATAAAATTTGATTGATGAATCAATATATTTTTAAAATACATTTAATTTAATTTGATTTATTTCTATATATTTAAGTTTCTAGATCAATATACTACTATTAACTTATTGATTTATATAAAAATATTTATATTTGGAAACAAAAACACAAGTCCAAATTAATATTATATAAGCTACATTAAATTCACTCGGTATAAAATATTTTAAATAATTAATGTATCCATTTTTAATTGGCAACTACTCTTATGTGTTTATACACTTTTGCCAATTGAATTGACAAATCATCTTTATTAAATTTTTTTTTTTAAAAGCATATTAGTTTGAGAAATAAGTGAAAAAATAGGTCAATTTACGTATTTATTTTAAAAAATTGGTTATTTAAGTACAAGTTTCACGACCTTTCGTTTTATTATTTTTAAAATATTACATGACCTTTTTAAAAAAAAAATAGTTTAAATGGTTTTTAATAAGATCTATTTATCTTTTTGCCATAATTTTAATATGAATATTTAAATTTTAAAAACTTATTTTAATTTTAATTTTTTTAACAATATTTTTTATAAAATAATATTAAAAATATTTTCACTAAATTTATTTATAAGAAAAAGTTTATTTTTGAGATAAACTAATATATTTTGAACAACATATAAACTAAACAATATCTATTCAATAAATATTAAAAGTAATTTTATTCTTATAAACAACATTAGAGAGAGTATTGTTTTTAGAAATAATTATATAATTTTGATTACGTTTTAGTTTTTAATAATATATATTTATCTCATAAAATATTAAATTCATATTTTAACTTTTATAAATAAATTAAAAATAACTTTTACATTTTAAATTATTTTATAAATATTATTTTAAAAGTACAAGGTAAAGTCATATTTCTATAGTTAAAGCAAATAAAAATTAGGAAAAAAAATTAAATATAAGTTTACTTGAAGTAAAATACAAAAGATATAAAATCTAGAAAAAAAAAAAAAGAAAAAAGAATTCTCTCACTTGTTTGTAGCGGAAAAGATAGGAAGGACAACCACAAATCATAACACAAAAGAACAAAAAAAACATAAAATAAAAACGGATAAACCACAAATTAACAAAAAAGAAATTGAACAAAATCAAAGAGAGAGAGTGAAAAAAGAGTGAGAAAAGAGAGATGCGTTGTTATGGCTTATCAATCCCCGGAAGCGATAATCGTTTCTTCGTTCCAACACTCACTCCGTCAGTATCCCTCCGGCCGACGACAACCTTGCCGGTAACGCGTGTAACATTCGGATCAACTTTTCCGAGACTGAAAGCCACCTTCAACGACGGCGTTGTGACGGAGAAATTGAGTTTCTACGATCTTCTAGGGATTCCCGAATCTGGTTCGTTGACTGATATCAAATCTGCTTATAAACAGCTTGCGAGAAAGTACCATCCCGATGTTTCGCCACCGGACCGGGTTGAAGAGTATACCAAGAAGTTTATTCAGGTTCACGAGGCTTATGAGACGTTATCGGATCCTTCAAGGAGGATTATGTATGATCAGGATATGGCTAGAGGTGTGAATCTCGCTTTCAACGCTCGGAAACGCTATAATCACTCCGATCAGGTTTTTGTTTTTTCTATTGTTTGCTTTTTTTGGAGTTTTGGAATTTATGTGTGGTTTGATTGGTGTTGGTTTGAGTTTAGTGTTTGTGTTTGTTATGGATCTGTGTATAGATTAAATTCATTGTTGAATTTGACTGTTTTCAAAAGCTGTAATGGAGTTTTGTTGAATTAAGCTGAAAATTCCTTGTGAGGCTTATTTGAACTTAACTCATAAGGTGTTTTCAGATTACTTTCATAAGTTCTTCAAGATAGCGAAAACGGCTTACATAAAAATAATTTTACTTTATGTTATTTTTGCTGTAGAAATATGTTATACATAAGTGCTTAACATAATAAGCACTTATGCTATATGCTGTAAAATAAGTTGTTTATTTGAATAGGCCATGATTTTGGGTTGCTGTTTCATTTATCTATTCTGTTACCATTATTTAGGAATTTCCTCCCCCTTTTTGAGGTTGGAATTTCTTCTCAAGTTTTGTCAATGTATGGTTGTTATTATGCAGCTTCTGTGGTGGATTTCTCACAGTTTTTTTGTTTGATTGCTTCCTTTTTTTATTGAGAAGCTTTTGGTTTCAGAAGCAAGTATTGGTCAAGCTCTTTTTTATTTCATCAGCAGATTATTCTTGGATTCATATCCCTTAAATTGATTTTACACGGAGAAAATGTGATTTTGCTGAAAAGTATCATGTTTGATTATGATATGTTAAGATTAGTATTTCTCTCAAACCTCAGTTTATTAGAGGTGAGAAAAAACAAAATAAATTGTGTTAGGTTGAAAAGGTTTACGACTAGTTTAATACAACTAAATTCAGAGTGAAAAATTCAAAACCAAAGGACTTCCCTTCAAACTCATTTTTTATCTAATCAATTTTACAAAACTGAAGTCATTCAAAATCACATTTGACAAAGACTTGCTCAGGCACCCACTTAATAATTGAAGTGCTTGCAGTAATTTTTGTTTCTCATTTGAAAAGCTTACAATTGATCAATTTGTTCCGATTAGAGCTTTTGACTGAAAAATAGTTTTCCACTGCAAAATGAACTAATCTAAACATGTAGTGAAAAGGTCAATGATAATTTTAAATTCTGATTGATGACAGGATGTGGTTTCATCATAGAAAGCTTTGTCCTTCTTTATCAATGTAGTTGCAAACCCTCTTAAAATGCATTATTACACCTGCATTTGAGGTTGAAACCTTCACCAACAGGCCAACCAACAGCCAACCCATGGGGGTTTCATGTGACATGTTATTACATGTTAGGTGTGGTTTGGTATGCCCTGAAACAGTTTATAAGTTTTTAGTATATCATAAAAGAAAAAACTGGGAACCTGGTTTGGGTATACCTGATTGACGTTTTGGGTATGGAGTGGGCACCAATTAAGTAGTTTTTTTCCCTTAAAATAATGTTGCCTAAAGTTAAGTTCTTTCTCATTTTTCTTCTTTTTCATTATAGTATATATTAACTTTTTCCTTCTGTGAGCTTATATTATTATTCACTCAATCTATTAAAATTGCAAATTGACATCTTCTGTGTCTAGTTTATTTTGTACTATTATTTTAATGAATTATGATAGATATGGAAAATCTATCTTCAAGACTTGCTTGTATGAGTAATAGGTTATGTTAGTGTTTTTATTCGCCATAACTTTGGCTTTTTTCTCCATTTTGAATGTGTCCATATCTAATCCAGCTCACACCACCACAAAAACTAAACAAGTTGGGAATAATAATAATGTAGTTGTATTAAATGTAAACTTGGCTCTTCAGCTCATGAAAAGTGTTTACAATTTTAAACGAATCACAGAATTCAAGATATTGTTTTCTAGTAATTCTTTTAGTCGTTTATAAAATAACCTTCTGAGGAGATAGATCTGTTGTGAGCTACTTAATCATTTTTTATTCATTTAATAATATAAAACTTTCTGTTTTTTATAATCTGGTAATGAATCATGCCTTCAAAAGAGATAGGGACCTGTAAACTGTTTGTATTTGGTTGTTCAGTCGACAAATTTACACTGTTTTATGTTTATAGATGTTGTTGTTTTTCATTTTACATATTCTAAGCTGTTGCTTTCTTATTAGGGGAGTGAACAAAAAGACGAATGGAAAAGTCGTTGGCAATCTCAACTCTCTGGTCTGAAGAGAAGAAGTGACAGCAAGGTCGCCGCTGATAACATGTCATGGGCTGCTCGAATGCGCCGGCAGAAGGAGGAAATGTGACCAGAATTTTCCTTTGTTCTATATGTCTATAATTGTATATATCAATATTTATCTTTTCCTACTCAACATCAAGTCATATATAACATGAATGTTTAGAAAATGCTATGCACTTTTTCAGTACGCTTACCATATAGTTTACCCGAAAAAATTGTGTTTAATTTTATTACAAATTACTTACTCTGCTTGGTTGTTATTTCTGTTGGGTTTTTAATTGTCTGGTTGGGAACTATTTAGCTTCATTTGAAAGAATGAAACATGAAAAATACAGTTCCTAAGCTCTTTCATGAAAGGAAAGAATATTCATAAAGTAAGAAAAGTTAGTTATGCAATTGGAACTTTCATCAATAATCATTTCAAAAATCTTTATCAAAAAGGTTAAAGTTAGCACTTTTTTGTTGCACATTTTGTACAAAAATGCATAATGTTGCTTTTGGATTGCTTAAAGTATAAGTGTTTGATTGGTTGTCACCTTGTATATTTTTTTTTCCTAATACTCAAGTGTATATATATTTTTTCTAATACTCAAATAGACGTATACTCTACTCTTGATTTAATTTGTCAAAAAGTAGTTGTACATGTGCCAAAATAAAAGAGACACAGAAATTGATCATGACATTGACATCTATCCAAATATGTTGCTTTTCTACTAATCCATCTATTTCTTTTATAAATTGACAATCATTCAATACTTCAAATTTCACTCTCTAGGAATGTATGCTACAGAAGGAACTGATTTGTTCTTTAATCTTTTATCATATTATAAAAAAAAATACCCCAACAATAAAATAAAACCTCAGTTGCATTTTGTTTAACTCCACTCTATTTTATCATATGTTTTATTATATTCCGTTCTGTTCTAAAAACACAGAAAAGAAAGTGAACAATAGTTTATTTTCTTCACAAATATAACTTATTTTATAACACTCGTATGAAAAACAATTAGGCCATTTATGCCATATACAAACAATTAATTATAGCTCCAAATCTACAATCAAGAAACACAACGTTCTGCAAACTATAATTTTCCTCACTTCAATCAAACACATAAATATTACCAAACTTATTTATTCTTAACACATTACTTAATCATTCACTAAAAATCACCATCAACCATAACACCATTCATCTTAAGCTCATCTTTAACTTTCACCATTTCATCTTCTGGCAATATAATGGTCACAAACTTTCCATCAATATCACTCTTGTTATGACCTCTTGACCAAGGAAGCACCAAAACAGCACCTTCATCTCCAACACCTTGAAGTGTGTAGTAAACAAATATTGGTTTTTTTCTCCTCAATTCAAAGTCATAAACATTGACATCTTCTAAGTTGAGAAATGTCAAATTAGCACCATAGACAAAAAAATCAGTCGCACCTTGATCTTTATCAACTATCTCCTCAATTTGTTTTCTCTCATCAATACCTTGTTCCACAAGTAACCTAGCCAAAGTTTTCAAATTTGTGTCAACAATAGAACAATCATTTCCGGCATCAACCTTGCATATCAATTGGTCATTTCCAATTATATCATTGCCCCTACCATTCGGGTCAGATCGACAAACGGTCACAGTAGTGAGTTTAGATCCTTCTCGAACTCTAGCAATACAACGCCAAATTATCGCGCATAAAGATTCAAACGATGGATTATTTTCAACACTCGAACCCCAAATATGTTCTTTCAAGTTGTTCATTTGGGAGTTAGTTATATGAAACGAGAACGAGTCCATTTTTTTATTGTTGGCCAGGATCCAATGATCGCCAACCGAATCAACCCTTTTAACCGTAACCGGATCTTTCTCGGGTCCTTCCAAATTAAGGGGTGTTGGAATGGATCTTGGAATGGTGTAAGGCATTTTTAGGTTCAAATTGTTAAAGAAGTCACCCCATTTAATCATGAAATCTGAAGCTGAATGTGGATCCCCCATTACATTGGCCCAACTAAGGCCTATTGCAACCCCACCACATTTAAATTGAGTTACCTGCAAAACACAAATAGTAAGAGTTTGTTTAGAAATGAATATTGAATAATGGAGTAGTCATGAATGGATCCATTCATCAACCTTATCTCAACTGAAAGTAACAGCTCACGAGGATATGTATTGGATCCTCTCACTCTCATACACAAAAATCCTTAAAGAGGGCACACAAATATAGGTAGAGATAAAGAGAGCATTCAATATGACGGAGAATCCAATATTTTGACTTTGATTTCTTCAACCTATAATAATTAACAAAAATATTATGATAAAATTAATATTCTGTCTCTTTCATTGTCTCTTTAATTTATTACAATGTTTTAATCTATCTAAAATAATCAAGTGTGACAATTTTTTTAAATGGAAGAATTGTTATTTATTTATAAAATGTATAAACAAACGTTAAGTGAATCTAATAATTTAACAAATTAATAAATCTAACTACTATGGTAAATGAACTTCATTCAAGAGTCATAATAATTTATTACACGTGTCCATGATCACATTAAATAAAAGACAAATAAATGGTATAATATATTAATTTTTTAAATTTTATATTGAAGTATTTATAATCTATTAAAATTAAAATATTGATATAATTCTTAAGTGAGTTTAATTGTAGTCATGCGGAAACATATAATTGTATATAATTATATGAATGAAATTTGAATCTCCGACATTTTACAAAAGAAATGAAATTCTGACAAAAAAAATCGTATTAATCGAAGTATTTGAATATATATATATATATATATATATATATATATATATATATATATATATATATATATATATATATATATATATATATATATATATATATATATATATATATATATATATATATATATATATATATATATATATATATATATATATATATATATATATATATATATATATATATATATATATATATATATATATATATATATATATATATATATATATATATATATATATATATATATATATATATATATATATATATATATATATATATATATATATATATATATATATATATATATATATATATATATATATATACTATTTATTACTTTTTCCCTATTTTTTTATGTATAATTAATGAAGATTAATATCACAAAATCATATATAATTTTCTTATACAAAAGTAAAATAAATTGTGCCAATGTTCAAAAATATCTTATAAATTAAGACTGAGAAAGTATGTATTACTGTCCTTTTCTTTTTGTATCTTTTGTATTTTATACATATATCCAATTACTGAATAAATTTTATTATCTTTAAAAAAATTAATTTTTCATTTCTTATAATTCTATTAATAATTTATTATATCATTTCATGTAGATTTATCTTTATATAATAAATAAAAAATAATATTATATATAAATTTGTAATTAATATTGTATTCATTTTTTAAAACAAAAGGAGTGCTAATTTGATCATTCTTCTCTCTTAACCTATTTGCTGTATTTAACAAAATATTCAAAAATATTATCATTCTAGATTTCAATAAATCATTAATAATTTGTTTCGAAATGGAGTTTCTAATAAATACTATAAACATCACTTGACATGACTAACTTTTAAATAAATTTTTAAATTAAATTACTTTTTTTTTTCTTTCTTTTTTATGATGTATTTTCCTAGAGTCGCAATCATGGCTGGAGTGGTCCATTGTCCTGCCTTTCTCAAAGGAAGCTATGAAAAAAAAAAAAAAACTTATTGTCTCTTTTTCTTTTTCTTCTTCTTAATTTTCTAGCAACTCAAAAGAAAAAAAACTTTGAAAAAAATATTTAACTTTTTTTGGTTGAATTGTTTGAAATATACTACAAGAGAAGAGAGTATAGAGATATACGTAAGTAAATTATTTAAAGAACCTGCAAGTGAACGGAAGGAGAAAAAGATAATTCTGGCCCAATAGCTTGTTGAGAAACAAGCAACTTGTAGGAAGACCAATCCTTCATATCAACCCATTCATCTAAAGTTTTAGTGCATCTAACCTCAGCCAGCCTTGCTCCACAATCATTACATTTGATAAACGGGCGACCGGCTTCCGATCGTCGAAATCGGCCACACGTGACAATATAATGGTTGAACAAATTGAACACCGAGTCTTTTATTTTCGTAATATTTAGATCTTGTGCAGCTTCGGAGTCAAATAAATAAACCACTTTAAAATAATGAAGCTTCAAGGCCAGGTCGAGGCCGTTAGGGTGGTGAAAAATATCTGACCCGGAACCTCGACCTGGTCCAACTGAAGATAGTCTTACATCATAGAGAAGACTCTCTTGCTCATCTTGTGAAAACACCATGTTGATAAGAGGTTTAGTTTGGTGGTTGTAGTGGAAGAGTGGTTAGGGCAAGAACAATATATAGAGTTAAGAAGTGTGGTATATTTGATATGAGAGGGACCACAAAAATTATAGGTAGAGAGAGTGAGTTAATGTAAAGCTATGCGTTTGGTTGTCATTGGTGAGAACTAGCTAGAAAAACAGTTAGACTTAGATCCTCAACATGAATTTACATGCTGTCTTGTGAACTTGTTACATCTTGGCAGTTGAGTTCCAATTATTTCTGTATCTAACTTGGGATTAGTAGTTGATATATAAAGGAAAGAGAATAACATTTTTGTAAAATTATTTGTATTAAGTATTCCTCTTAGTTGTTTGATTTGTGGTTTTTGTTTTTGGTGTAGGTTTGTATTAAGATGAAGTTAACATCATCTTTATCTTTCATTACAAATGAAGAATTTTATTTATGGAAGAGGTAATCTTAAATGATATATTAGTGTGATTTATTTTTAGAGGCAACTCTCGCTAAAAAATCATATATATATATATATATATATATATATATATATATATATATATATATATATATATATATATATATATATATATATATATATATATATATATATATATATATATATATATATATATATATATATATATATATATATATGTACATATATATATATATATATATGTACATATATATATATATATATATATATATATATATATATATATATATATATATATATATATATATATATATATATATATATATATATATATATATATATATATATATATATATATATATATATATATATATATATATATATATATATATATATATATATATATATATATATATATATATATATATATATATATATATATATATATATATATATATATATATATATATGTATATATATATATATGTATATATACATATATATATATATATATATATATATATATATATATATATATATATATATATATATATATATATATATATATATATATATATATATATATATATATATATATACTATATATATATATACATATATATATATATATATACATATATATATATATATATATATATATATATATATATATATATATATATATATATATATATATAATATGTAATTCATTTCAAGTTGGTTTGCATATTTGAATTTGCATTTGTATTTAGTTTGAGTTTGAATTTCATTTGAGTTTTGTAATAAATTAAATGTTAGTTACAATTTATAACAAAATTTTAATTTGATATTTGAGTTGAAAGTATGTTACAACCTCTCTCTCTCTCTCTCTCTCTCTCTCTCCTCAATTCTATGCAATTTCTTTGTTGAACAACAACAATTGGTATCTAGAATTCTGGTTCAATTTATAGGGAATACGAGTGTGGTGAGGTGTGTGATTGATTTTGTTTTTGAAATTTGTGTTGAATTGAAGTTCGAAATCAAGGAGAATCACATATCTTGATTCTCAGGGTTTAGGAAACACGAGTGCTGGTGAGAACTGACTGATCTGCACAAGAACGCTGGAAACGGTAGCTTGAACACAATGCTTCCAATATTCGGCAGAAAGAATTGAAATCAGTGGTCGATTCAAATGCGTGTGTTGTTTGGAGCTCAAGATGTTCTTGATCTCCTCAATGACGGTCACACAGCAGTTGCCGAAAATGCAATAGCATCGAAAATAAATGCGCAACGTGAAACGAGGAAGAAGGATCATAAGGTGTGTCATATATCCATCGGTGTGTGTATATGAAGTTGTTTGAGAAAATTGATTATTCGACGACGACGAAGGCAACATGGGATACACTGGTGCAGTGTTATGGTGGTGACACATCAGTGAAGAATGTCAAGTTGCACTGCCTACGTAAGAAATATGAGAATCTCAGCATGAAGAACAATGAGGTCCATCTCATCATAAGAAGAGTAAACCAAGAATTTCTCATTTTGAAGAATTGATTTTGGGAGATAAAGACGCTCCAGTCAGAACTCAATCTTCATTCAAACCTTTTGAAGAAACTCTTCTGAGTTTAGTATCCTTGATAAAGCCAACATCTATTGATGAAGATCTTCTGGATAATAAGTGGATTCTGGCTATGTAAGAGGAACTGAATCAATTCACCAGAAACGATGTTTGGGATCTTGTTCAGAAACTAAAAGGTGTCCATGTCATTGGAACTATATGGATGTTCACAAACAAGCTCAATGAGAAAGGTGACATCATCAAAAATAAGGCGCGACTGGTATCACAAGGTTATAGTCAGCAAGAAGGGATAGACTACACAAAAACATTTGCACTAGTTTCCATGTTAGAATCTATTCGTCTTTTAGTTTCTTTTGCAGTCAATCATAACATCATTCTCTATCAGACGGATGTTAAGAGTGCATTCTTAAATAGATACATTTTTGAAGAAGTATATGTGCACCAACCCCTTGGCTTTGAGGGTTTTAAAAACCCATATTTTGTTTTCAAACTTAAAAAGTCATTATACGGTCTAAAACAAGCTCCTAGAGCTTGGTATGAAAGACTAAGTAACTTTCTTTTGGAAAATAATTTCACTAGATGGAAAATGGACACAACGCTCTTTTGCAAAACCTTTAAAAATGATATTTTAGTTGTGCAAATTTATGTTGATGATATTATATTTAGTTCTACTAATGCTTCATTATGCAATGATTTTGCTAAGTTAATGCAGGCATAATTCAAAATGAGTCTAATAGGAGAGCTTAAGTTCTTTATGGGGATTCAAATTGATCAAGGAACATACATTCACCAAAACAAGTATACAAGAGAACTTCTAAAGAAGTTTAACTTGTCATAATATAAGCTAGCAAAGACTGCAATGCATCCCACATGCATTCTGGAGAAAGAAGAGGTAAGTGGTAAGATAGATCAGAAGCTACTCAGAGGTATGATAAGTTCTCTCCTCTATCTAACTCCTTCTAGACCTGATATTTTATTCAGTGTTTGTTTGTGTGCTTACTTCCAATCAGATCCTAGGGAGACAAAATAGAAAGGAAAAGTACTTCTGGAAGTTGTCAATTTCTGGGAGAATATCTGATCTCGTGGTCCAGCAAGAGACAATCAACAATTGCGCTTTCAAGAATAGAAGCTGAGTATATCGCAACTTCTAGATGTAGCACTCAGATACTCTGGATGAAGAGTCAGCTAGAAGATTATCAGATCTTTGAGAGTAACATTCCTATCTTTTGTGATAATACTTGTGCTATTTATTTATCCAAGAATCCTATATTGCATTCTAGGGCTAAACATATTGAGATTAAACATATTTCTTACGAGACTATGTTCAAAAGGGTATTTTTCATTTAAAACTCATTGATACAGATCATCAGTGGATTGATATCTTCACAAAAACCCTTGTTGAGGATATATTCGTTTTCATTCTAAAAAATCTATTTATGAAACCTTGTCCAGAATGAAAAGATGTTATCGTAATGTTTTGTTTCCAGAATTCTTGATTAAGATTATGAAGTTCTCTAACTGTATTGTTGTTTGATTGATTCTAGAACATGAGCTTTCTGAAGTAAGAAAGTTTCATGAATCAGAAAGGTTCTAATCAGAAGAAAATCCTATTGATTTATATTCTGGATTTTGAACAGTCATATCATTAATGGTTGTCTTTTTGTTTGATAACGTGTGGTCTTTAATGGAGACAGTTGTCCCACTTCCCGAGCATGCGTATTGATGACGTGACACATTAGGTCTGGTAATTTTATGGAACTGGGTTAAATCCCTACATATTCCCCTTTTGTCTGCGTATTTACCTTTTACTAATTATTGTATCTATGGTAGTTATTGCTGGAACATTTATTTAAACTCACCTCACTCACATTTCACACTACGCTCACATTACTCCCACATTTTTCTTTCTTTCAAGCCTAAAATCGTCCTTTGCATCTGTTCATCTCCTTCATATGCTCCTTCAACTCTCAACCGTCTACAATGGCCGAATCTTCTCAACAACCTCAATAACAAGTTGCTTCTATCATCATTCGTGAAAAACATGTCGTCACTCTTGATTCTCCAGTTGATGATCTCTCTGTGCTATGTGAGACTATTGTTAATTTCCAAAATCTGAAAGATAATGGCTTTGACCTAACTGGAACGCTTGGGCTCCAAGACTGAAATTCTTTCTTTGAAAGGCTATAGGGTCCAGTCTGCCCAGTCCTCGTTGAATAGTTATGGATTCATGCTATAGCTGAAAAGGAAAACTTCATCTCCCATGTCTTTGGCAGAAAATTGGAGATTATGGAGAAGACAATCTCTGATTTGATCTCTTATAATGATAAGAGGTCTCTCAACATCAAAACTGACCTTTCAACACTTTTTAGAGAAGAAACTGTGATTGAAGAAGTAAATAATACATATTTGAAGTATACCTTTAGGGTTTGGTTCTATATTATTTTGGGTAGCATCTTTCACAGGCCTAATATCAATTCAGCTGATACTTCCCACAAGTTCATGTTGTTCTTTGTAGAAGTTGGTATCAAGTTAACACTTCCAACTCTTCTATTTAAACTTCTCAGAGATTCGTTGATTCTTATGAGGAACAACCATATGATGAAGATATTTGTTAGGATGCACACTGAGAAGAATGGAAACAATGCTTTTATCAACCTGGTTCCGCTCCTTGTTGGAGATATTGTTTGGATCGTTACGAAAGAAGACTTGAAGGAGGTTAGCGAAGAGGTTACCAAGTACAAGGTTTGTACTTGCTATGTTGGTCGTATATATCGTGAAGAAGAAAAGGACTTCGAAAGACAGAAACCTGCAGATAATGTTTCTGAGAACCAACAAGTTGCTAGAACGTCTTCTTCTGGGAAGCTTCTTGAGATTTTGTAGACTCTTGTTTAGCTTAAGGAAGAGAAAGCCATGGTCAGACAACGCTTAGAGAAGCAAAATAAGATGTTTGAGCTTATCCTCTATAGAATTCCTCCACCACCCCTACCTTATAATTTTTTTAGGCACTT